TATATATATATATAAGTAAAGCGACTTAATAATTACAATTAACGATTTAAAGCTTCAATTGTTTTACAGTAATTTTATTTTTACATCGAAAACATATAATATTAATGTAAAGACCTAAACCATTTTTGCAAGATTTAAATATAATAATATATGTAATTATAATTCGAGATAGAATATAAGATTTTTCTTTTCTTATTCATAATTATATTTACAATTTGACACATGAAAATATTAGGCATGTTATATACTCGTATATATAAAGAATTATTTCTCTCTGTCCCAAATTATATATGTAGTCTAAGGTGGGCTTGTATATCGAGATTGTCGGCAGTATCAGTTCCCGATGTAAAGTCGTAACTAGTGGATTTCCCTTCTGTCTATTTTCTTGGAGCACACAGACGGGGCACAGAGAGTCGTCTATTGCGATTGTTATACGCTTGCAGGACTCCTCGGAAAAATTGCACGAAGAAAGAAAAGGTCGATGTAATGCGATTACGCGCGGCCGTTGGGCGATCTGCCTCGCGAGGGCGAAGCAGACGGGGACGGATCCGGGCTGCATCCGTTACTGCTACCGCGGCGACTTCCGGTACCGCCGGTCTTTAGGCGTACCATGGTGTCCAAGTGGCGAAATCTGTGCGTGTGAAAATCAAGATAAAAATAATGACAAAAAACGGAAACAGAGCATTAGATAATGGGTGCAGGGATAACATTGTTGAACAAAATATAATTTTTTTTTTTTACGTAAAAATGGAGGTAATTTGCCTAGAGATAAAAAAAAATGCCCGCGCGCGAATTTCTGTACATGCACATGTTCACACATGTGTTTTTATATGAATTGCAGATTGGAAATGTGATCCCTGTAAATCAAATTTTGCAGTATTTAGTGACTGCAAACCACTTTCCAATTCAAAATATTGTATTTTTATGGAGGTCTATGTATATAAGTTTTTTGCATATTTAATTTTTTTATGTATATGCCGTAAATAACTTTTCTAAAATACTCGTCTGCTTGATTTATTATTATAGTGATATTCTTTTTTTTAAATTTCAATGAAAAGCATTCGGAAAGCATGATTTTTATCTTATAACTATCTTTTTTCCATGCAGACTGCAATATTTCCTAATGAAATTATTTATCATATTCATTAGCAACATCCTTTAAGTTAGAAGAAAAGATGTCTAAATAAAAATGCAAGTAATGAATTTTGATAGACATATTGTAGCTTATATTGTTATATGATACTTTTATATACTAAAAGATCGTCGGCTATATTTTCATAAATTGAACCTTTAAGATACCTGCACTTACGTAAACATGTTTTGCATACTATTTTAGAAATAAGTCTTTTTTTTGCATTGCAGATCGACCGGAGCGAAATTGATAAGCTTCTTTCATACGTGAAGAAATATTTCTTCTTTGACTTTTTACCGCATACATAACAGAATAAGTCTCAAGAATTTTTACATATTCGTGTCTTTTAGAAAATGGAAGAATAAGACAAGTAATATAAGAAATTAAACATAAATTTGCAGTAAGTAACTTAAATACTGTAAGCTTATACTTTCTCGTCAAAAGTGCTTATATAAATTGTTTATTGTTTTTTAGCTGCTTATTTAAATACTTACTTAGCACAAAATTAGCGCTTTTTTATTATGTATATTTTATATTTGTATATCTTATCATTTTGCTTCGGTCAATCTATAAGTAATGTAGAAAAGTCTTTTATTTCTCTAATATTAATCATAGAAAAAAGATAGGTTGATAAAGACCATATTTTCGGACTTTTGTTGGAATTCCAAAAAAAAGCATCTATATTACGTACAATAGTAAATCAATCGAACGAACATTTTAGGAAAGTTGTTTACGACAACATAAAAAATTACATATGCAAAAAAAAGAGAGATACAAACGTAAATACATCTTCATAAAAATATAACATTTTGAATTGGAAAGTAGTTCGCATAAGTCATTAAATACTTCAAAATTACTTTCGTTGGTTTGTTTAAGATACTTTTTTTACGTTTTTTTACGTTTTTTTCGTACTTTTACGAATGTAAAAATATCTTAAACAAATCAACGAAAGTAATTTCGAACTACGATGCT